AATTTGGAGTCTCCTGGTTAAATTTGAGCCTAACCTAACCTAACCTAACCTAACCTAACCTAACCAACGTAACCTAACCTAACCTCCCCAAATTGCAGGTACTGTAACCTATCGTGGATTAGAGTGATTTACGATCAAGTTTATGTGAGAAAACGAAATTTGGAGTCTCCTGGTTAAATTTGAGCCTAACCTAACCTAACCTAACCTAACCTAACCTAACCAACGTAACCTAACCTAACCTAAATTGCAGGTACTGTAACCTATCGTGGATTAGAGTGATTTACGATCAAGTTTATGTGAGAAAACGAAATTTGGAGTCTCCTGGTTAAATTTGAGCCTAACCTAACCTAACCTAACCTAACCTAACCTAACCAACCTAACCTAACCTAACCTCCCCAAATTGCAGGTACTGTAACCTATCGTGGATTAGAGTGATTTACGATCAAGTTTATGTGAGAAAACGAAATTTGGAGTCTCCTGGTTAAATTTGAGCCTAACCTAACCTAACCTAACCTAACCTAACCTAACCAACGTAACCTAACCTAACCTCCCAAAATTGCAGGTACTGTAACCTATCGTGGATTAGAGTGATTTACGATCAAGTTTATGTGAGAAAACGAAATTTGGAGTCTCCTGGTTAAATTTGAGCCTAACCTAACCTAACCTAACCTAACCTAACCTAACCTAACCTAACCTAAACCTAACCTCCCCAAATTGCAGGTACTGTAACCTATCGTGGATTAGAGTGATTTACGATCAAGTTTATGTGAGAAAACGAAATTTGGAGTCTCCTGGTTAAATTTGAGCCTAACCTAACCTAACCTAACCTAACCTAACCTAACCAACGTAACCTAACCTAACCTCCCCAAATTGCAGGTACTGTAACCTATCGTGGATTAGAGTGATTTACGATCAAGTTTATGTGAGAAAACGAAATTTGGAGTCTCCTGGTTAAATTTGAGCCTAACCTAACCTAACCTAACCTAACCTAACCTAACCAACGTAACCTAACCTAACCTCCCCAAATTGCAGGTACTGTAACCTATCGTGGATTAGAGTGATTTACGATCAAGTTTATGTGAGAAAACGAAATTTGGAGTCTCCTGGTTAAATTTGACCTAACCTAACCTAACCTAACCTAACCTAACCTAACCTAACCAACGTAACTAACCTAACCTAAAAATTGCAGGTACTGTAACCTATCGTGGATTAGAGTGATTTACGATCAAGTTTATGTGAGAAAACGAAATTTGGAGTCTCCTGGTTAAATTTGAGCCTAACCTAACCTAACCTAACCTAACCTAACCTAACCAAACGTAACCTAACCTAACCTCCCCAAATTGCAGGTACTGTAACCTATCGTGGATTAGAGTGATTTACGATCAAGTTTATGTGAGAAAACGAAATTTGGAGTCTCCTGGTTAAATTTGAGCCTAACCTAAAACCTAACCTACCTAACCTAACCAACGTAACCTACCTAACCTACCTAACCTCCAAAATGCAGGGTACTGTAAGACCTCTATGTGGATTTAAGAGTGATTTTCCGCGATCAAGGTTTATACATATATGATAATCTATTATAAATTGTGAGGAAAATACG